TATATATATTTTTTTTTTTTTTTGAGTCAGCAAGTTTTAAGTCCCATTTTGTGTCACTGAAATGAGCTGCTGCTGGTGTATTCCTGAAGAACTCTCTGGAAGGACTGTGCACTCACCACCCCTGGCCAGCGCCCTCCCTTCAAAGCCGCCTCCATCTGTGTAAGAGAAGGCCCCTGTGCTCTGCCTGCTTCCTTTGTGCAGCGAAGCTAGCACTTAAACAGGCCCCCAGGAGCTTTCTTTTTAACATGGCTCCTTTTGTTGTTACCTTAGTCTTGGGATGTCATCACTGGGTCTCCCTTTTCCAGGGGCTCGGTAGTGAGGTTTGCGGGTTACTCGCTGTGGCTGCAGTTAGCTTGTGCACTTCCCAGAACTATGACGGAGGGCAGAGCACAACTGAGAAAGGCAGATGCAGTGGCCGGTAAAGTGACAGGAGGGCCCACACGCGCACTGAAAGAAGTGCTGCGATTCTGATTTGGTTTTTTTTTTTTTTTTTGTGGAACTGGAGTTTTGAACTCAGACCCTTGCCTTTGCCAGGGAAGCGCTTATTCCACTGAGCCATCTCCCCAGCTCCCTAGGCTGGGATTCTGACTTAGAGCTATCACAAGACGAAGTGCTTGACGGTCACTTGCTGCTCACTGATGGGGCTTTGAGCTGAGTCTGTGAGCAGATGACTGGTGTGCAGTCACAGCTCTCTGCTAGAGTTTCTCTGCCTTTGCAGCCACTCTCCAGTGCAAGCAGCCCCACCTTGGCTCCTCAGGCACCGGATCCCTCTCACATGGATCCCTCTCACATGGTTCACATCCGGGGCCTTGACCCTGTGAGAGAATCTAACCTTGCAGATCTGACAGGAGGTTGAACTCAGGCTGTGACGGGACGGCAGGAAACAGAGGAAGCTTTGCTCCACTCACTGCTTGCCTCCTGCCACTCAGCCTGGCTAACAGACCACAGACCTGAGGCTGGGGACCCTGTCTACTGCACACGCTAACAGGTTTCTTGTCCCAGGTTGCTGCAGGTTTTTTTTTTTAACCAGTATTTTTTTTTCCTGGTGTGTAATTTTTATTTATTTATATTTTAGAAAACGGTCTACAGGGTGCTCAGGGTCTCACTACTAGATCGGACTCATAGTGATCCTGTTTACAGCCTTCCAAGAGGTGGGATTACAGGCATGTGCCACCAAGCCTGGTCTCAGTGTGCCCCAGGAGCAGAGCCAGCATGGCAGGCCCGGGGATTGAACCCCTGGTCCGTGGCAGGCGCTTTAATCCACTAAGCTATTTGGCCAGCCCTAATTTAAAAAAAAAAAAAATCTTTTATTTACTTACTTGGTACAGGGTCTCCCTATGCAGTTCAGCCTAGTAGTGATACTCCTGTCTCAGCCTCCCTGTGCTAGGATTACAGGTGTGCACCACCACACCCGGTTTTGGTGGCTGGCTCAGTGTGGGGCTGGCATGGCATATGGTACCAAGGCTCAAACCTGGGTCCTTGCACTTGACAGGCAGTTGCTTAGACCGACAAGCTATCTCCCCAGCCCATTTCTTTTATTTCTTGACACATAAATGGATCAAAAATATGTTTACTTAGAAAAGTTGACTCCAACAAAAGCAAACAGTAAAGCAATATTTTGAAACTCCTTGCGCGTTCGGCACTGGAGGACATGGACAACAGAGGTTGTGTTCCTCTGGGCAGCACTGAGAAGGGGCGATAAGCAGATGCAGTTGCTGGCAAACAGGATGTGCTCTGGCCCTGCTGAGCCTAGACGAGCGCGCAGATGTCTACACTCAGCACCGCCACGGGGCACTGGGGTGCTTCCCTGCTGCTTCCTCCTTCACACGGTTCTGTGACCACGCATTCTGACAAGGGATGCTGTGTGGAGCGAGTCCCGCCGCACCCACTGACCTCACACCCGTGCCCTGCACCTTCAGCATGCTTTGCTCACTGCTGCTGTGCAGTAAGTTTCTGCCAGGCCAATCTGCCCAGTGCAGACAGGAAGCTGAGCTCAGGAAGAGATGGAACGGTGGGAGCAGCTGGAGGGGGGCTCCTTGGCTCCTACCTGGGACCCCTGGTTTCAAAGACACCTTTTATTAAACGTCAATCTATACGGACATCTTTCTAGCTGAGCACCGTGGTGCACATCTCTGGCTCCAGCTATTCTGGTTTGAGGCCAGCCTTGGCAATTTAGTGAGACCCTGTCTAAACAAATAAAAAGGGTTTGGGTGCAGGGGGCCCACAGTCCTCCTGCCACTGGGCCTCACTGCCTTTACTATCGTAGTGTTCTGGGGTGCTGAGCTGTACCCCAGCCTCTCAGGCCCCGCCCTTATTTTTGTCTGAGACAGGGTCTTACTATGCAGGTCAGGCTGGCCTGGAGCTCACTTTGAAGCACAAACTGGTCTTGAACTCGAAATGATCCTCTTGCCTCAGTCTCCTGAGTGCTAGCTTTAGGGCGCACCCAATAAGACACACTATTTCTAGGCCTGTGTGGACAAGTCTCAGAGCTGTGATATCCCCTGGACTTCCTGGCCCAGGGCACAACACCCCGGGGAACCTGGCCAGGCAGCCTGTCCCCACGGGGAGAAGAAAGCCTCGAGGCTCGAGGCTCGGCAGCAGTTTGTTAAACAGAGATAAACGAGTACAGCCCTGCTCTACATCACAGCTGTTTTTTTTTTTTTTTTTTTTTCGGAACCGGGGATTGAACTCAGCCCTTACGCTTGCCAGGGAAGCGTTTATTCTACTGAGCCATCTCCCTGGCCCCCTCACAGCTGCTGTCTTCCAACTGGAAAAGGCTTCCACTGCCAAGCTGAGTCCAGTGCCTGACACCCCAGCACTCCAGGAAGCTGAGGCAGGAGGATCAACTTAGCAAGACTATCTCAAAATACAAAAAGGCTGGAGATGTAGCTTAGTATAAAAGCTCTGGATTCTATCCCCATTAAACAAAACCAACCTTGCCAAACCACCTTTCTGGAAGGTTCTGGAAGAATTCCTTCCAGTGAGCTGGTATAGACAGGCATACAGGTGGAATACCCCAAAGTCAGTATGTGAGACCCCCCAAAACCCTACACCTCTGGATAATGGTACAAGTACAGAATCCCACAGTATGGAACTGTTTCATGCACAAAATTATTAAAAATGCCACAGAAAACTTGAGCCATGTATATTTCCCAATTCAGCACAATGAATGTTATTTTTATCCTGCATCACAGAATCCACTAATAAAAACATCCCGTAAAACCACCTGAAGGCCGTGTAGACAGGCGCCTGTCAGGAGCGAACTGTCTAAATCTGGTCCCCCTCTCCTGATACCTAGTTACGCGTGCCCAATATCCCAAGCCCCAGGGGATCTGCAATCCAGGCCA